GTTTCAAATTGGAACCTTCAGGCTAGTTAGTATCACACTCAGGCCACACTCAGCACTTGCCCACTCTTGTTTACTGCCTTGTATTCTAATTATCTGTGTATTTGTCTGTCTCTCTCACTAGATTATACGCTCCTTGTGGGCAGGGACTATGTCTTTTTCATCTTTGTGTCTGTCATGGCACCTAGCATAGTGCTTTGCACATAAGTCACTCGATGTTTGTTAAATAAAGCTATTAGTGTCATTAAAACTCAAAAGACAGTATAATGTGTGTTTTTAGATATTTTATGTAAAAATTAAGAATCTCAGTTTTTTGTAGGTAACTAACTCTTTGTTATTTCCTTTGGAATCTAAACAGTTTTATGTTCAATATTTGAAACTTGAAGCCTTTACTGAAAGATCCCAAGGACCCAAATTGATGTGTTTGTCCTAGAAATAAGGGGAATGGTGATGATTTCTCTGAACCTTTCCATCATTGTTAATTTGTTCATTTTTATCTTTAGTGCTCTAGACACTATTTTGGCATATTAGTCATTTAGTCCTGTCAGTTTCTCTTCTCAGGTTTATGTATCAGTGCATTTCCTTAGATGTGGTAGGGTGTGTGTGGATTCTTGGAATGAAAACTCTTTTAATTCAGGAAATATTTATTAAGCACACTTTCTAAATCTACAGTCCATGCTCAGATGTCCTTTACAGAATTTTTTTCCAGTTCGGGATTTAATCAAGGATCATGTATTGTATGTAGTCTCCTTTAATCTGGAAAAGGTCCTCAGTCTTTGTTTTTCATAGCATTAAAATTTTAAAATACAGGCTAGCTATTTTATAGAATGTCCTCAGTTTGAGTTTGTTTCCTCATGATAATGCAGTTTTGACTGGAATACTGCATGAGCGATCTAGTATTTTTCCTACTGTGTCATATCTGGAGGTGCATGGCATTTGCCCATTATTGGTGATATTAATTTTGATTACTTGGTTAGGTGTTTGTTTTTTTATTTCTTCAACCTAGTTATTCTTTTTTTTTTTTTTTTAAAAAAGACCGGGGGGCCGGCCCGTGGCTCACTCGGGAGAGTGCGGTGCTGATAACACCAAGGCCCCGGGTTTGGATCCCACATAGGGATGGCCGGTTAGCTTACTTGGGTGAGCGTGGTGCTGACAACACCAAGTCAAGGGTTGAGATCCCCTGTCAAGGGTT